AACAATAAAATAAATAAATGAATGGATAAATAAATAAGTAATTTAAAAAAATATATATTGCCCAAAAGAAGCGCACAGGTACCCAACCAGTGCTAATTAAACTCAGATAAAGGAGGATGTAATTGAGCATAAATTCCTGGACAAAGTCAGTCTGAAGTTGAGTTCTAGAGGAGGTGCGGGCCATGGATTGACAGAGTAATAAAAGCACTAAGGAAGGAAGGAAGGAAGTCATGTGGCAAGGAGACTAACTTAGCCGAAGCAGAAGACTTACAGGAAAAAGTCATGACAGCTGAGGAGGGGGAAGCAATTGTTCAACTCAACAGCTTCAGCTAAGCTTCAGCTCTGTGTAAGGCCCTGAGCTAGGGACAGGGAGGCTGTGAGTGAAAAAAAATAATTTCTTTTTTAAATAATTATTTACTGTATTTATTATTATTATTATTACTATCTTAATTCACCAGAGAGAGTGGGAAAGAGAGAAAGCAAACTGCCAGGTCCCAGACTTGAACCACACTGGACCATGTGGAAGTCCAAGCACCTTAATCACCACACCACTCGCCGGTCCCCAAAGAGAATTAAGTTCCATCCTTGAGGAGCCTACATTTAAATGGGAGAGATCAAACATATTTCCAAGTAAGAGCAGTACCAAGGCAGAATGTAATGTGAACTGCACTGCAAGTGGAAATACAGTAGATGAAGGGCAGACTCCATGAAAGAGTTGGCATTTGAGCTCAGTCTTGGAAGATGGGAATATAGGATCTCAACAGACAGAAATAAGAAGGAATATGAGCTATCCAGAGGGAGGGAAGTGAAGGGCATTTGAGGACTATGAGTAGTACCAATTGGTACAGGATAAGTGTGTGACAGCAACAAGGCAGAATCTGCTTTTTAGCAATGGAGGGACCTAATGTAACCATGTTTCAGAAATATTAACTGGTAGTAGTATCTATGAAGCATTGGAGGGGAAGAAAATGAGTTTTTTCAAGGATGGCTAAAAATCTACTGCCATTATCCTGGCATAGAAAATGATTGTCAGGACCAGTGACAGGGAAAATGGAAAGAAGCTCCAAAGTTCTAAAATGTTCTGTGTACACATTAGTCTTTTCTTTGGGTAATGCGAGTCTGTCCCAGAGAGGTTGCTTACTGCCTTCTGCGACTGCAAAACTGAAGGCCCAAACTTGAAGCACAGCTTCTATGAAGGTTATTAGAGAATATTTTTAGGAAGACACTGTGCTCTGTGACTCCCAGAAACATATAAGGTAAGAAGTTAGGAAGGAGGCTGATAGGTGGCATGGTGGTTAAGGATGCTGGACTCCCACATGGCCGATCATGGTTTGAGTCCTGGACCTGGTGGCTTGCTTTCTCACTCCCCCTCCCCCGGTCAAATTGAAATGAACAAATAAATAAAGTTAAATGTTTTAAAACTTTTCTTTAAAAATTAAAAAAAAAAAAAGTTAGGAAGAATGGGGAAAACATCAGCAGGGAAGAGTGGCTGCCAGGTTCACTACCAGGAGAATCTAATGGCATGACATTTTTCTTAGAGGTTCATTGATTTGGGCTTGATTCTTGAGCCTTGCAGGATCAGAAAGCTGATTTTGTCAACACTCTCTCAGAGACACATTCACGTTCCCAAACTCAAGTTTTAGGAAAGCCAAAACCATCATAATCGAATTACCTAGAAGAGCAGAGACTTGACAAACACATCCCTGCCACTGGAATGCAGTCAGTCCACCTTCTCTGAGCACGTTAGGATGGGCACTGCCAACATGTGACCCTGTTGCTCCACTTCTGGCCAACCCTCTACTCTAGACACAGCCATTCTATGGATTTTGATTCCATCAAAAAACTATAGCCAACTTTTGCTCTTGGTCAACAAGCCACTCTCCCTTCTTAAGATAAATATTTTGTTGTTGACCTCATCACCCTGTGTTGGTTTTATAATGTAACCATCTGAGGAAATCCATATTTTTCTTATTTTCAGATTGTTTGTAGGAGATGACTTTGCTTCGTATTCCATTGCCCATGGTAGGATTTTTTAATTCTATCCTTTCCCTGGGAAAAAAAAGGAGAAACATTTATTTCTCTTTCTATAAAATTCTATTGTTGAAATTCTAGATAATTTTATCCTCTCTACTTTCTGAGCTCCTCTGCTCAGTTCCATTCCTTTAGTTCTGTAACTGCCCTCTTGTGCTGCCATAGATATTTTGTCTTACCAGAGAGAAGCTGCTCAGTCATTTCCTTGCTTGTTACACAAGTCAAAGTCCAGGATCTAGGCTCACAAAAATTAAATTACTTCTTGTTGAGCCTGTGGATAAAATAAGACTCACATTATTTTTAAAATAAGACTTTTGGGGCCAGCAGGTGGCAAAGTGGTTAAAGGCACTGGATACCCACATAGCTGACCGTGGTTCAAGCCTCAGACCTGGCAGCTTGCTTTCCCTCTCTCTCTCTCTCTCTCTCTCTCTCTGTCTGTCTGGTTGGATTAAAAAATAATAATAACAAATGGAATTCAATAAATAAATAATTATTTTTTAAAAAAATAAAAGAAGACTTTTAAGCCAGCAAGTGGCATAGTATTTAAGACGACTGGTTCCCACATGGTTGACAGTATAGTTCAAGTCCCAGACCTGGGGGCTTGAGAATCATGCACATATGCATATACGCCCAAGATTCCGAGAGGAGAATGGAGAAGAGATTGTCACATAGCCATCCCCATTGGAGGGTGATTTCTCACTTTCTCTCTCTCTCTCTTTTATTTTCTCTCTCTCTCTGGTAAATGCATGTACCCTATAGCCAAAACTAAGTAAGTAAATACATACATACATATATAAAAGACATTTCTCTTTATTTACAAGAAATCTTTGTCAATGACTTTATATTTACCACTATAGTACCCTAAAGCATAATGAAGTGGATGATTTGAGAGTTTGAGGACTGTTTAAGAATAGTGTCACACAGCTCAGCTATGGTGGTGCAAGCAGGACGCATCTGCCATATGGAAGTTGAGGTCACATGGGAGGCCCAGGTTTGGTGCCAACCTGAATAGGTCAGGCTTGGTGGTGCACACTTGTGGCCCTAGCTAACTGAGAGGCTAGAGTGGGAGCATCACCGACATGTTAAAAAATGTCTCTCCCTTTCCCTCTCATTCTCCCTTTTTCTGTTATAAAAAGGGGAGCGAGGGGGAAGATAATGTTGCTTTATAAACTCCTTAAGGGAGAAGAGGAAAGAGTTATACACACACACACACATACACAAACATATATATGTATATATATTTATAGCTGATGGAATGAATGAAATGACTAGTAAGCTAATGGATTCTCATCACTATTCATGGAAAGTGGTAGAATGTTAATCATTCTGATCATAGAGAAGTGCATTATTCAGTGCCTTCTTTCAGCCACAGGCTGTCATTAAATAGGACATGAAGTCATCTAACTCTCACCACACTCCCCTGTGTTGGAACCGACACGTTGGACTGAAGCCCCTTTGTTCCCTGTGGAGAGTCTGCCACCTCTGCAGGCTTGTCCTCAGGAATGTCGTTCTAGAAATAAACCAGCCTTCTCACTGGCATCCGTGACTCATATACAGAAGCTAATTCATTGGAGCAACTGGCTTCTCTTAGGCCCTTTGTAAAAGTATTTCAGAGAGTCTTGCATGATGAAGCAAAGAAAGCCGGGATCCTCTTCGATTTCTTTCCATCTCTTTCCTCATTTCCTCTGTGTTTCCTCCACACCTAATATTTGGCTTTCACTGACAATCTTTTTTTGCAGACCCAGACTCTAATTCTTGAGCTAGCGTTGCCTAAACCCAGAAGTACACTAGCAAAACTTCGTTAGCCCACCTACCAAATTCCATTCATTTGGTTTTGGAGTTAAATCACACTCCACTAGTCCATGCTAACCATGCTTGTAAATTACAGTATGCCAGTGATTAATTTGTATAATCTGTATCATAAGGTAGAGCCTAAGACTTCATCTTTCTTCTCTAGTTTTTTTAAATTTGTTTTTAATAACAGAAGTAATCACTGAAAACATTTTCACTATAAAACAACAACATAAAACTGAAGTCCCCCCTGTTTACTAAGTAAGTAACTTGTATTGCTTTATAATTTTTGGTTATTTGTATATTCTAGGATTTTTTTACACTCAAGAAATATATGAGCACAATTCAATTCAAATGGTACAGAAGTATGAATAGTAAAAAGGGACAGTATCTCAGAACGCTGCTCCATTTTTATTTCCTGTTCCCTGTTAATAATTTGGTGGTATCCTTCTAGACCTTTGTAAAATGCATTTACATACATATGTATATACTTAGGCAGGTAGTTTTATTTTTTACATCAGTGGGATCATATTTTATCTGTTACACAACTTCCTTTTTCACTATCTCCTAACTTTCCCTGTTAATACATTTATCTTTACTATGTTAACAGTTGCATAATATTCCATAATTAGAGTGTGCCATAATTTATTTAAATATCCTTCTATTGGCCAACAAGTGGTGTGCTGGTTAAGGGTGTAGGACTCCCACATGGCCAACCACAGTTCAAGTCCCGGACAAAGTGGCTTGCTTTCTCACTTTCCTCTTTCTTTCTCTCTCACTCTGTCCCTCTCTGGCCAAATTAAAATAAATCAAATAAATAAAGTTAAAGTAAAAAATTATTTTAAAAAGAAATAAATATCCCCCTCCTGATGGGCATTTGAATTACTTCCTAAACAGTTAATGATTATTTGTTACAACAATGCTCTACTGAACATCTTTGTATATGTCTTATGATCTGTCCAAGAATGTCTGTAAGCTAGATATCTAGAAGTTTCAGGTCACTGGGAAAGTCATGATGTATTTTTGCATTTGTATTTGGAAAATACATCATGACTTTCCCAACAACCCAATATAATCAACGGGTCAAAGATGGATGGGTGCATTTAAAATTTTACATTTTTTTAAATTTATGATTAAACAGTTAAACACTTTAACCACTATTTTCCTTCCTTCTACAGAAAATTCTCTACTGGGAACTGAAATTGACCTTCAGAGTATAGACAATGATGTTGTCAGCATGGAGATTTTTTTCAAAGCCTGGCTACATAACAGTGGAACAGACCAAGAACATATCCATCTTCTTCTTCCTTCACAGTGTTTCAACAACGTTTCCGGACTCAGAGATAATACAAGTACACAACCTTCAAAAGATAGATCAGATAAGCTATAATTATCCTTGTCTAGGATTAGAACTCTAGATTGATAAGTAATATAGTAAATTGTATTGGCGTTACTACTGATACCACAAAGTAGTTGGGCCAGCTAGTGACACAGCAACAATGAGACACTCTGCAATGCTGGATCCACATGGGAAGGCTCCAGGTTAACGTCCCAAGGTCTTTCTGTATATGCTTAGTACATGTGTATGCATATCTATGATGCGGGCTGGTTGAGGTTGGGGGTAGATTGTGGTGTAAAGACCATGCTGGGGTGCCTGTCTTTCTATCTTTCTCTCTCACTCATGAAATAAACATTTTTAAAAACCAAACAATAAAAGAGAGAAAGAAAGAGAGAGAGAGAGAGAGAGAGAGAGAGAGGAAGGAAGGAAGGAAGGAAGGAAGGAAGGAAGGAAGGAAGGAAGGAAGGAAAAAAGAAAGAAAACAGAGCAGTTGAGGCTTAGAAATTGAGCAAGGCTGTCCAATTTAGCACGAAAACTAAAAAGTAAAGTTCTAGAAAATGACCATGGTTAGAAAGATGAGCCTAATTAAGCCCAATCTGCAAGGGCTACTTAGTTTCAGGGCCAAGTCTTAGACACCTCACTAATAAAGAATTGACTATACTACATTTTTTAAAAGGAGTGAGATTACTGAGTCATATGATAATTCTATTTATAGGTTTTTGAAGAACCTCCATATTGTTTTCCATAGCAGCTGTACCAATTTACAATCCCATAAACAGTGTAGGAGGGTTCCCTTTTCACCACAGCCTTCGCAGTATTTTTTCTTTATTTTTTTATCATATTCTGACTGGGGTTAGATAGTATTTCATTGTGGTTTTGATCTACATTTCCTCTATGATAAGAGATAAACATTTTTTCATATCCATTTTGGCCATATGCTTGTCTTTCTTAGAGAGTTTTCCATTTAGCTTATTTGCCCATTTTCAAACTGGATTTTTTCTTTTTGGGAGGGAGGTGTGTTGCTTGAGTTTCCTCCAAGGTCTTTTCTTTCTAGTGGTAGCTATTGAGTTTCTTCCTCCTACCCCATCTCTTCCTAGGACACAAGTTTCTTTTAATAACTCAGTTTGATTTTACCCTGTCTTTCCTTTGGTGGAAGATATTTTGCCCAGGATCTTCTTTCCATCTTTTTTGCCCAAGGCTGATAGGACTAGTTTCTCTGTACCCTCTCCTTTGGAGTTCACTCATCTATTTTCCACTATTTAAGGTAGCTGGTGCCTTTATACAGTAGCCAGTTTATAGATAGCATTATTAACCCCTCCTTCTGTGCCAAGCACCATTTTAACCCACTTCTTCACATCATTTAATCTTATCTTCACATGACACCATGAACTCTTGCAGTATATCATCGAATCTGTCATCCATTTTTTTTAGAATTATTCAATTTTATTTATTTACTTATTTATTTTATTTTGACGAGATAGGGACAGAATGAGAGAGAGATGGGGAGAGAGAGAGAAAGTGAGAAAGTAAGCCACCAGATCCGGGACTCAAACCACCGTCGGCCATATGGAAGCCCAGGGCCCTTAACCACCACATCACCTGCTGGCTCCTTAAGATGCTATCAATTTTAAGATACATCACTATTTTATATATCACTAAGAAAGAAAATATTACCAGTGAAACATGACACTTTGCATTCTTGTCATTGAGAAGTATTATTTATCCTTGAGAATTCAAGCTCTTTTAGGGAGAGAGCAGTAAGTAAAGGCTAAGAGTGTCTGCCCAGTCAGCGGTAATTGTATGACACATACAGACATACTAGTATATGAAAAAAAAAAGTGTTTCAAAATTAATTAAACACAATATTACCACTATTTTACAGATTTTTTTTAAAAAAAACTGAGATTTAAATCGGGACCAGCAAGTGGTATGGTGGTTAATGGGCTGGACACTCCCACGTGGCTGACCATGGTTCAAGTCCTGGACCTACCGGCTTGCTTTCTCACTTTTCTCTCTCTCTCTCTGTGTCTTTCTGGTCAAATTAAAATAAACGAATGAATGAATGAACAAAATGGAATGAAATAATTCTTTAAATAAATAAATGAAATCAGTGTGTTGAAATTAAAAAAAAAAAGAAAAGAAACACTTTCCCGATGCTGTACAGTAAATCAATAGCAAGACTTGAAACCAAACAACTCCAAGACCTACTCTTTGTTTGTTTGTTTGTTTGTTTGTTTGTTTTTGCTATAGGGCACATGCACTCACCAGAGAAAGAAAGTGAGGAAGCAAGCCACCAGGTCCAGGACTTGAATCACAGTTGGCCTTGTGGGAATCCAGTCACCACAACACCTGCTGGCCCCTCCAAGGCCCACTCTGAACGCCTAGGGTCAGAAATCTATATTTTGTACATTTGACCACACCTGGCCCCAGGATATTTATCAAACCCAGGCCTATCTGCCCAGAGCCCAGACCTTTATAAACTACACTAACCTGCCCCATGTTCAAATGCTAAACAATTTGAACCAAGTAGCTGGAGAATCACTTCTTTCATTAGGAGAGCTGGGCCAGGAACTTTGCCCGTGGTGCTGACCAGAAGTTCTCCAGCTTTTTCTCCCTCATTCCAAGCCTTTCAGCACCAGGGTCAGAGCCAGAATGTTTCTTCATCTATAATCATTTCTCAGAAATCTGAAGTTCTGGGACCAGCAGATGGCGGAATGATTACGTCACTGGACTCTCACATAGTCGACTGCGGTTCGAATGCTGGACCTGGTGGCTTAAAATTCATGCAGGCACATGCGCTTGCATGCCCAAAATCCCAAAAGGAGAATAAAGGAGAAAGGAATGTGGCCTGACATTCAGCCCTGGAGGTGATTCTGTCTCTCTGTCTCTTTCTGTCCAGTGAGTACATGTACCCTATAGCAAAAGTCTCTCAAAAAAGAAAAGAAAAGAAAAAACAAAAGAGGAGCCCACAGGTGGCGTGGTGGTTAAGGGCACTGGACTCCCATATGGCCAATCACGGTTCAAGTCTCAGACCTGGTGGCTTGCTTGTTTTCGCACTCTCTCTCTCACTCTCCCTCCCTCTCCCTCTCTGGTCAGAAAGGAAGAAAGAAAGAGAAAGAGAAAGAAAGAAGGGAAGAAAGTTAAATAAAATATTTTTTAAAACTAAATAAAAAGAATCACATGAGGAAATTTTTATAAATACTAGTATCTCAGTCCAGCCAATAGCCTAGTTGTTAAGACATGTATCTCATATGGTTGATCACAGCAGCTTGAAATACATGCCAGGTACATGTACCTGTGTGCCCCACATTCCGAAATGAGGGAGAAATGGACACGAAGGGATTAGAGTAGGACCATTCCCCATGTGTGGGGTGGGGTGCTTTCTCCCGCTCCCTCTCTGTCTTTATATCTCTCTGGCACACACCCTCTGGAAAATTAAATATATATAATTTTTGGTATATAAGACCTACCCCTGACCCCTCACATTTCTTTAAGCACTAGCTTCCTACTTCCAGGAAACCTCCTCTAGGGAAGAATTAGCAATAATGGCGAAGGATACTTGCTACTTCTAGTTCCTACCACAGGGCCCATGAACAGGTTCCTGAGCTTTGAAAATCTTCTGTGTACCAGATACTATCTAGGTGCTGGTCATACAAAGATGAGTAATTCACAGATCCTAGTCTGAAAGCTTTCATGGTACAGTCTTAAACTGAAGCTGAATTTAAGTGTATCTGGTCAAGGTTCTAGATACCACTGAGAAGTCTTTCACTGCCATTGTCTGTTCCCAGGGCTCTAAAATCTAGCAGAGTCTGTGAGGATAGATAGATAGATAGATAGATAGATAGATAGATAGATAGATAGATATAGATATGTAGATATATAGACTCCACCCCCTGAGATCCTGATTTAGTTGGTCTAGGGTAGGTCCCAGACATTAGTACTTTTGAAGTCCCCTTCAATGGCTAGCCGCGGTGCTGCCGCAGTAACGTAACACCCATGATGCTGAAGCCACTGGGAAGAACCCAGGGACCCAGGGCTCATGTACTGACGTCTCCCTGTGATCCTGATTGGTTGAGGATGGATTGTGGCCCTATTGTGAACTTCTTCTCTCTCTCTTCCTCTCTCTCAATAAATAAACTGAAAACAGTTTCCTAGATGATTCTTAAGGCAACCAGCATTGAGGACCTCAGCCAGATGAGCACAGCCATCTAGTCCTGACACCCAGGGCCCAGAGAGAAGTCAGGCACAGAGAAATGAGGAGAAGCTTAAGTCATAGGCGAAGTTCCTCCTCCTGACTTCCTGGGCTCTGGGACATACCAAGCCAAGAGCCATCTCATTCAATATGAGTATCTAAGATTTACTTACTGGGCCCAGAAGAACCAGCTGGATCTAGCACCTATTCTGCCACTCAGTTTTTTTCTATGTTACTTTTACTTTTGTTTTTACATCATGTTGCAATTAGTACAGTCATTTCACCAATCCCTATCAACTATTGGCCTTCTCTCAAGTACTCAATATTTGTGTATTTGCAAGTTTGTTAGCCAGTTTTTGAACCAAGTATACATTTTATTGAAAAACTTTGTAATATCAGGGTTCAAGCCTAGTGCAATAGAACATTGTACACTGTAGGGACAAGCAGTTAGCGTAATGGCTATGTCGCTGGACTCCCACATAGTCGACCGCGGTTCGAGTCCCGGACCCAGTGGCTTAAACTTACGCCAGGCGCGTGTGTGTGCGTGTCCAAGATCCCAAGAGGAGAATGGAGGAGAAGGGATTGCGGCGTGGCCATCCCCTCTGGGAGGGGGGGTGATTTCTCACTTTCTATCTCTCTGTCTCTCTCTGTCTGTCTGTCAAGCGCACGTGCCCTATAGCAAAAACCTCTCCAAAAAAAGAAAAAAAAAAGAACATTGTACACTGTGACGAGTGACAGTGACAGCTAGAACAGAAACTTAAAACAGAAGAGTCTAATACTTACATGAATAACTGACACTTAGTCTAAGCCCTCTTTAGTACTGTTGTACTTAGAGCATCACAGTGATGCTCCAAGGCCCAGAGGGTCCTATACTCAGGTTTCTTTTGAGAATTAAAAAGTAAACTATTTCAGGAACTTACTCGTCCTCCACCCACCCCCAAATGTCCCTAGAAGAGCCCACAGAGAGACTGTAGCAGTCAGCTGACTCTGACTTCTGCTTTCCTGCTCTTCCTTCATCTGACCTACAGTCTTGCCAAAGCCTAGCCACAGGGAAGCACCAGAGGCAAGATTTCCTTCTGTGATTGCCAAAGGGCCTCTGCATATTTTGGCATTAGCTGCCTCCTTCACAGAGGATGCATGTTCCTCTCAGACTGGATCCTGAGCCAGATCTCTCACTGTGAGACAACTGTTCAGCCAGCGCAAAGGAAAAACAAGTAAAAATCATGTCAGACCCAGAAAATAAGTTAACTATTTTGTAGAGCAACAGACAAACTGTAGATTGCAGACCTCCTCCACCTTCCAAATTGATCACCCTTTTCTCTCTTCACTCCTTTGCCTCCTCTCACCCCTTGGTATAAGAGACACAGACTTGGGGAGGGGGGCAGATGTCTCTTAATGGCATAGCCTGCGGTGACTCGGGACCCACACTCCCTCCTCAATGCTACTTTTATTGCAGTGTGCCTGAAATGTGATCTCCAAGAGCGACTCCTCAGCCCATCCCTGCTCCCAGGCACAGCTGACGGCTTCTCGAGAATGGATGACCCCAAAGGAGACTTCAGCACACTCTACCAGATGGCTTCCCAGCCGTCGGCCTCGCGCTACAAGCTGCAAGTGATCAAGTATGGTTCCACAGCTAGAAAGCCCAGAGATAAATGGTATCTCTAAGTGTCTGACAGGCAAGCGTCAGTTTCAGGGTACAGTTACAGAGGGTGCAGGAAAAGGCGAGGTCAGGCTACTCAGCATGTGGAGGCCAAATGAACAGATAGTGAAAGAAGCACTCCAGTACAACAATGAGGTCTCGATGAGGATTCCAAATCCAGAAATTCTGTGGACTCAGAGAAAAGCAAGATCAGTAGAAAAGTTTACCCCTTCAGTAAATGTTTATTGAGTACCTACTACGGTTAAACATCCGAACTGAGAGCCAACCTTCAAGGAGCAAGTGGTATATAGGATCTACCCCTGTCCCCTCCCATTTCTTTAAGTACTAGATTCCTACTTCCAGGAAACCCCTCTAGGATAGAATTAGCAATGATAGCGATGGATCCTTGCTATTTCCTGGTTTCTGAGCTTTGAAAGTCTTCTGTGTGCCGGATACCATCCAGATGCTGGTCATACAAAGAAGAATAATTCACAAATACTAGTCTGAAAGCTTTCACAGTACAATCTTAGACTGAAGCTAAATTTAAGTGCATCTGGTCAAGGTTCTAGACACCACTGAGAAGTCTTTCACTGCCATTGTCTGTTCCCAGGGCTCTAAAATCTAGTGGAGTCTGCGAGTCCTTGATGTATGGACTCCCGTTCATCCTCAGACCCACAAGCTGTTGGCAGCTAGACTGGGATGAGCTGGAGACAAACCAGCAGCATTTCCATGCTTTGTGTCACAGCCTGATGGTGAGTACCCATGTCCCCAGGTAAAAAAAAGAGGAGTGCTAAAGAACCAACAACTGAAAAGCAGCTAACCAACCCTGCCCTAATCCCAGCCTGCCTCGGCCTTCAAGAGGATGAAGAAAAATGAAAATCCTTTGAAATTTGGAATAAATAGGACTTTCCGTTGTTGGCTTCATGCTGTAGAGAATAATTTCTGATTTCAGTGTTTTTAACAATAAGCTGAAAAATCCCAGTTTTGTAAGCTTAAATTTAAATGGCAATAGGAAAATTTCCACAAGTAGCTATATTTTATTCTTTTAAGAGGGGCTGGCAGGTGATGTGGTGGTTAAGCATGTAGACTCCCACGTGGCTGACCACAGTTTGAGTCTCAGACCTGGCAGCTTGCTTTCTCATGCTCCCTCTCTCCCTCTCCTTCTCCGTCTCTCTTTGGTCACATTGAATAACAATAATAAATAAATAACAAGTCACTAGTTTTTTAAGAACTAGTGATTTAATTTTTATTTACTATTTTTAAATTTGAGCAGAGAGAGAGAAAGCAAGCTTCCAGGACCGGGACTCAAACGTAAGTTGGCCATGTGGGAGCTGAGTGCCTTAACCACTTCTCTTGCCAACCCAGTAACTCTATTTTTAAATCCTCCTCCTGCCTAGCACTGTGCTGGACATTATGCTTTGTTTAAATGAAGAGCACCTGGTGCCAAACATTGCACTAAGCCCTAGACAGAAATTCAGCGATGACATAACACACTATCTATGACCTCAAGAAACTTACTAACAGAAGATGCAATAACACCTGTTTTTTGTTTTTTTTTTTTCCTTTTTTGTTTTTTGGGGGTTTTTTAGAGAGAGAGTTTTTTGGTTTTGGTTTCATTTTTTTTTCTATAGGCATGTGTGCTCACGGCTGAGACAGAGAGACAGAAAGCGAGAAATCGCCCCCCAGGGGAGATGGCCTTGCCACAATCCCTTCTCCTCCACTCTCCTCTCAGGATCTTGGGCACACACATGCACAGGCGCCCGGCATGAGTTTTAAGCTGCCGGTCTGCAACTCAAACTGCAGTCAACCACATGGGAGTCCAGCAACATAACCATTACATCATCTGCTGGTCCCAATACCTGTTTTCTTAAATGTGAGAAGCTGATGAAGGAAAAGAAGAGACTGCTCTAAGAGAGCCTCTCTGTGGAAGTATCATTTAAACTGAGATGTACAAGGTAGGTGGGAATTATCCAGGTGAGGGGTGGCAGGAAGACCATCCAGGCACAGGGAAAGGCATGTGCAGAGACTCCAAGGCTGGAAACTGCTAAGAGAAAATTCCAGAACAGAAAGGCCATGGGACTGAAATCTGGAGTAAGGGGAAGAGGCAAAAAGTGGAGCAGCAGAAATGAGCAGGGATCAAATCATATAAGCCTTTGTAGGTTAAAGATAAGATGTTGGGCTTTATTAAGTAGAGAATGGGATCATAAAAAATAACATCTCTATAAGTTTTTGAAATACAACTTGGGCAAAAATTTGAAAATGAACTAGTAGAAGCAAAAATAAAAATGAGAAAATGAGATAGGAGGGCATTGCAGTAGTCTAGGTAAGAGATACTAGTGGCTTGGACTAGAATGTTAGAAGTCAAAATGAGAAAAGTAAACCAACAGAGAAGTATTTTAGGGTGAAAATCCACAGAACTTGGTGACGGATTGGACATAGGTAGTGAGGAAGAGGACGTTCAATGACTGCTTAGTTTTTGGCTTGAATGAGATGGATGTCATTCTCTGAAATGGAAAAAATAAAAGCAAACAGATGAAACTAATGCAATACTTAGAAAACAAAACAAAACACCTGTAAATAGAAGCCAAGGACAGATATAGAATAAATGTTTGACCTGGTAGGAGACAGATGATCAGGATAGCCCAGAAATGTGTCTCTCTCAGTATCAGAAGCAGGCTTCTTTTTTTCCTGTTTCAAAGCCCACACTCCCTTTTTGGTCCACCCACTGAGTTCCTGTTTCCTATCTGACGAACACTCATCTCCTGTTTCTGCAAAGCAGAGACAACAGAACCATCTCGACTGTCAGTGCCCCCAGTTCAGTCAACTATTCATTCCACCCAACTCCTCAGAATCTCTAAGAGGATCCATCACTTGGAAGGAATTTCCCCCAAAAGGCCTTTGTACATTTTTATACACATGATATTTTAGACATATATCAGCATTTTAATATACTGCTATAGAGGGTACATTTTCTATAAAAGGATAGCTTCAATACTTTTGCTGTGGAAGTAGCTCAAGAAAACAGAAAACGGAACAAAGATATATGTACCACATGTCCCTCTCAGGGTTATTTTCTGTGGTAAAAAAACTGGAAACAACCTAAATGTCATAAATACAGAAATTGTTAGATCTAGATAGGAGAAAGGTTATAGAAACTATCATTTAATCAACTAATGAAACAACATGCAGTCATTAAAAATAAGAATGGGGGCAATCCAGGTACTGTGGTGGGTAAGGCAGCTGGGTCTCACATGGCCCACTGTGCAGTTGAGTCCCAGACCCAGAAGCTTGAGAAACACACCGAGCACTTGTGTGTGCCTGCCCAAACTCCTGAGAGGACAGTGAAGGAAACTGCTGGGTGGTCATCCCCCTCAGAGAGGTGCTTCTCACTTTCTCTCTCTCTCTCCCTCCCTTTGTCTATCTCTCTGGAGAGTGTATGCATCTTATAGCAAATTAAAATAAATAAATAAGAATTGGAAAGCCCAACCAGAGTGGCATAGGCAGGAGAGTGCTGCTGTGTGATGGCCAGGACCATGTGGGAAGCCTGAGTTCAGTTCCCAGCCCAACCTAAACAGGCCAGGTGCATGCCTATGGATCTAGCTGTCTGGGAAGAAGAATTATGACTTGACAAATCTTTGTCAAAAATAGAAACACCTATCTTTCTCTCTCCCACATGCTCACTCACTCTCTCTCTTTCTCTCTGTCTCTCTCATTAAGAACAAAAAATAAAAATAAAAAAAAAGATAGGAGAAAGTGTTCTCTTCCATTGTGATTTACATACACGACATCAATGTTTCCCTACTACTGAACTCAGGTTTGAGAATACTCATTTATTTAATTATTTGACAAATATTTATAGACCACTATGTGCCAGGCACTGTTCTAGGGACAAAGAGATCTCTTTTATTTTTTTTGGAGAGGTTTTTGCTACAGGGCACATGAGCTCGCCAGAAAGACAGAGAGAGACAAAGAGACAGAAAGCGAGAAATCACCCCCCAGGGTGGATGACCACACTGCAATCCCTTCTCCTCCATTCTCCTCTTGGGATCTTGGGCACACACATGTGCCTGGCATGACTTTAAGCCACCAGGTCTGGGACTCGAACCACAGTCTACTACATGGGAGTCCAGCGACATAGCCATTACGCCAACTGCTGGTCCCTGAGATCTCTTTTTTATTATTCCTTTCTCATAGGAATTCACAAATATGTAGTTGACTCATCACTAATAGATATCTATTTTTTGAAGCATTTACTAAGTGGTAGTCACTTGACCAGATTCTTTGCATATTCTACCCCATTTAATCCTCACATTACTCATGGAGGTAGGGAGGTGTTACCCCTTTTTCTACAGATGGAGAAGACTTACCAAAGGTCACACAGCTACTAAGTGGCCAAGTAGAACCTGGTTCTGTTGACTGCAAAGCTGTTAACTTCTTTGCTAAATGTCCTACTTTGGGTGTAGCCAGATAAATACAAACTACAGCACCGAGGCTAATTTTCCATTGCTTTCACCCCATGCTTCAGTACTTTACTGAACTTGAACTCACTTAAAGTAGCTGGGTACCTAATGGCTCCTTACCATTCTTGTGCTATTGTTCTCTATACTTGATTTGTCTCATATCTCCCTAGCTTCTATCTCCCAGAGAGACGAAACAAATCAGGGTCGCACTCCTGAGCTGGAAAAGAAAGAATCAAAATAGTGTTTAAAGGGTGCTTCCTTCTTGTTTTTCACATGACATCTCCAAGTAGCAAAACTCCTGTATAACAGTGAGTTATGGAGGGGAGAATTCTTTCTTTTTTTTTTTTTTTTTTTTTTTTTTTTTTTTTTTTTGAGAGGTTTTTGCTACAGGGCGAGTGCACTCACCAGACAGACAGAAAGAGACAGAGAGACAGAAAGTGAGAAATCACCCCCCAGGGGGGATGGCCATGCCACAATCCCTTCTCCACCATTCTCTTCTTGGGATCCTGGGCACGCATGCACACGTGCCCGGCGTGAGTTTAAGCCCCCGGGTCCGGGACATGAACCACGTTCGACTACATGGGAGTCCAGCGACATAGCCATTACGCTAACTGCTGGTCCCAGGGGGAGAATTCTTCACAAGCTTCAGCTTTTTCATTCAACAACACTTTTTTCAGATCCACTGTGTGACATTTTACTCAGAGTTTTAGCCTTCCTAGTTTGCCACACTTCTTCATTCCGCTTGGGTTATGTATTCTTTCTTACACCTTTTTTGCTTGTTCTTTGAAAATCTGATTTCAAGTTGGCTCCTGGCCTTCTGTTTCTCATCATCATGTTTCCCCTATGGCCAACTTCTCATTCTAACTTCTGTCTTTCTGTTAATAGCAGCACCACCAATATCTAGGCACTCAGGCTTGAAACCTCAGTCGTTTTCAGCCATCTCGGCCTGCACACCCACTTCATCAGTAGTCACAGTCACAGTCCTCTCATAGCGTGAGTTGTAACTGCCCTTTCCTTCCTCTTCCCACTGCTTGTACTCAAGACTTCAGTAACTTCTAACTAACTCCTCTAGTTTCTATCTCCCCCTCTTCTAATTTTCCTTGTACATTGGTGCCAGATTAATCTTTTTTCTTATCTGACCCAGCCTCTCTGACATGGCCCCTTCCTCTCAAGTCCTGTCTATTTCTATGATTTAAAATATCCAGGAGTAGAGCTGACTGGACTTCTTTTTGCATGAGTAGAAGTGGAGTGGAGAAGGAAAGAGGAGAGAAGGTGCATGACAGACACACATT